ATGAGGTGGCGAGGAGGAGGAGGAACCCGAAGAAGAAGTGGGCTGTTGTCTTTTTCTCTCTCCTTTGTCTATTCTCCCTCTCTCCTCCTTCGTCTATGTATGATTCTCACCTCATTCTATCATCACACACATTTGCGATTGTTTGTCATTCATCAGCAGATCGATAATCATATGGACTGGTAATTTGACGAGTATCATCACGTCTGGGCTCATTGTATATCAATTTGATAAACTCTCATCTGCTTTAGGATAGATGTAAAAAAAAAAAAAAAAAAGATGTAAATTATAATACACAACTCTTATTTGCTTTAGTTTAAATAAATGTAAATTATAGTAAATTAATTTAATTAAATAAAAATGTAATTTTTGATAAAACTCTAATGTAATCAATGCAAATTATGATAAATTCAATAAAACTCTTTTACTGGCGGTGTATCTTTCCATGTTCTAGTGGAGTATTCCTTCTCGTTTTGCACAATTGGTGTGTAGCGGAGCCAGGCCCCCTATGTCTGATCCCCTCTCTGTTGAGAAAGAGTATAAGAGTCTATACAGTATGTGTCTGGATCCCAATGCGTTCAGAAAAATTGACAACCATCGGCCCTCAGGATGTGGTGCAGGTCTGTATCCCAATCCGACGGCTGACTTTGCTTCTCATCTATCATATGTGTCACTTTCAGATCGGTGGCTCTCCACCGCCCTTATGCACACGTGTAACTGTGCATCTTTTTTTTTTTTTTTTTTTTTTTTTTTTAAACATAACACCACTTGAGCCCCATCCTTTCAGGGGGGTGTCTGTGCATCGTTCCATGTGTGCATGTGTGTGCGTGTGTGTGTGTGTGTGTGTGTGTGTGTGTGTGTGTGTATAGGGAGTCACACTCATTGCCTCTCTCTCCCATTCTCCATAGTATCCAGTGGAGCCGTGGGCAGTGGGCAAAAGAAGACAAAACTCTCTTGCTTGATGATTTCGTTCATATGAATATAAAATGAAAAATTAAGGAGTGCATCTTCTCGCAGAAAGAGCTGCAATATACATTTGTTTGTATTCATAGTAACAGATGTAT